TTGCTACCACGACAAGTTGCTTTAGTAGCGGGTTCAATACGTCATTGCACTCCTAGACATTGTGCTCGTTATACCTCAGAATGCCGCATCGTGACAAAAAGCCCGGGTAGCGGCATTGTGGCTTTCTTTCGCGGTGTCGGCCATTGCATGTCTCAGTTGGAGTCTGGCCGGCTTCTCATTTCCTTTGTGGTGGTGGCGTGATGCGGTGAAGGCAAACAATGCCCCAAGGGCCGGCAAAGAGCATATCCATGCCGCGAACAAGCGGTTCCGCTGGAGAGGCTTGCTGGTGCAAGCGGGTCATTGCCAACGTTGAAATGAGCTATTGTGGATACAATCCAGTTTCCCGGACAAGATGCTCCCGTTTCTTTGGGATTTTCATCGAAAGACGAAGCACTGGTATGTACGTGTACGGTAGACGGGGGCCGTTGACAAAAGGCCGTCCAACTACATACGAGGTTGGATTGCCACAATGCCATATTACATGTACGTGCGAGTCAGCTCGTAGTTTGGTGAGCTACACAGCCTCTGTGGTTGGTCTGGATACGTAGTAGTCGTGCCGGAGCGGGAACAGGTAGAGAGACTGGAGTTTGCTCGCCCCTTAGGGATGGGCCGCTGTCACGGTTTTGCCCTTGGCTTCTTCTTCTCCCTCTCCCTAGGCCACTCAACTTGATGGCTCGGACCGATCGCCTTCCGCCAGGCTGTATTGCATTGCATTCAGTGCCAAGGTGGGTTTGGTTTTGGCAGGTTTTGCATCACCTTCCCTGCCACTTATATCGGTGGCCGATTCTTTCTAGAGGACAGTCATCCTCCACCCCACCGCTACGTCCTACAGGGGGGGCATTTGAAGATAAATCCTAGAATCAGATGGTTTGGCATGCTATGAGGTGGGTATATAGGCCGCGGATGCAGGTTAATGGCCCGGGATTTGATGGTCATGGGAGGCGTCTGCTTAGCAGTCATTTTTTGCCTTTGCCGACAGGATAGCAAAGTGTATTGGCTAAAAAGTACTGTACATGTAGGTGGCCATCTCAAAGAATCGCATGGTGTTGAGTCGAAGCTCTCAGCTACAAGGTACATGGATTTGGAATATTATGCCGGGGATTTTACCAATTCTAATCAACTAAAAATAAACTCATTTGGCGAAGAGCTTGCATCCGAAAACGACGTCTACAGTATACCATGCCATCAAGGCAAGTCCAGGTATGTGGTTGTATGAGCGGGGGGGTTTTCGGTTGAAGCTGCGCACACACATTCATGTGACCCCGGGGGAGATGACGGAAATGGAACAGCGATATGAGATGATAATGACTTTGCCAAGGATCACAAACTTTGTTCTCTCTCGTTAAAAGAAGGGAGAATACGAAGTATTTGCGGCTGCACCGGGATACAGCCTTTTGGCCTGCTTCACAAATGACGTTGCTGCAGCAGGCCCCGTGGGGGAGATGTCACATACTGACTGGGGGGGCTTTTTTTTTTTTTTTTCCCTCTTACGAAGCCGAGTCTGCCTGTGTGTCGTTCCTTTTTGTGAGACATGCTTGTACGGCGATGCGCCGTCATCAGGCGTACAACAGAGGTTGAGCGTCGGCGACGACGGATCGGCGGTCGATCTGTCGGTCCATTCCCCGAAGGACATGGCATGTTGTTCACGTTGCAAGGAGGATAGAAGCACATGTATGTACAGTACAGTATCATTTGGGGTCTGCATGATTGCATGTACGTCACAACATGGCCTGACAAAACCTCGAGTGGCCGTGATTCGTCCCTCGTACCCGGTGTTGGCCATCCCTGCGGGCGGTAGCACGACGTCGGCCTCGCAGCCTTTTGGCTAGGATTCATTGCATGAATGTCATTTTTTATGGATGCTGGAAGGCATAGGTAGGCACAAGGACTGTACTATGTACTACTATGTACAGGGAGCGGACGGATAGGAGAGCCGTCGTCAATACGGGGAGACCAGTCAGCGGTACCGTAGCAAGCATTGGATGCGGGCTTGCAACACAGCATGAGGCATTGCTCAAACGCCCAATTCGGAGCTTCGTTGGATAGGGCTAGTTCTGGCTGGCGTCCGGGGAAAGGTTGCGTGGATGTGGATGCTAGTCGAGATCAATTTGCAGGGCCCGAGATTGCTGGTACGAGAGCAGACAAGGTCGCAACTTGGCTAACAAGATCCATGGCATCGAAGCTTTTTGTTCGGCGCCGCTTTGGTCTGTAAGCTGCTAGCGCGCACTCTGCTTGTCTGCGTAACCCACGCGCCCCTGGCTGGTGGACCCGGGTTGAGCTGCTGAGTGAGCGAGCATCAACGAGGCCATCGTGTCGTTCGTCTTGATTTCCGAGGGATCGAAGGGCACAAGTGCTCATGTTCCTTGTCCTGACAGCTCCTGGGCATCTGTCCCAGGGCATGTACAAGCACTAACCTTGCTCGGGGCCTCCTGGCAGCGTTTGGGGGTAAGATCGGTGCATTTAGTAATAGTACCTATTGACATCTGCTGTCTTCTCAACCGCATGTAAAGCATCAGCATCGGGCCGCACCATTGCATCGATACGGCGGTCAGCATTTTAGGCCGGACCGAGCAGATGGATGTTCGATTCCATTCCATGTACATGTCCTACAGGATTGGCGCTGAAGCCTCACAGCTGACAGACAGATTCGTACCATCACCAGAGACATTTCGTACTGCTTCACTTTTGCCAGGTACCTGCTATAGTATCTAGTATCTAGACACTGGGCTGTGGCACAATTCAAGTCCTTCAGCGACTGGTTCAACTGACGCCACGCATACAGCCAGCCAGCCATGTACAGTACACGTAGTCACCCATTGATATGGATGCCTTCATGTTGTCAGCGGTCAGCGGTCAGCAACATGCTGAGGTTACATGTCGGCGTTGCGTGAGCTGCCGTTGCTTGGATACACGTTGTGCCTATGGCATCGACGAGAGGTCTGTGAGTATATGCAAATGTGAACATGGAACAGACACGTCGGCACGGCTGCCCCGTTTCCAGGCAAGCGTCTAAAGCAGCCCTGAGGTAAGTCCCGTTAGTCTGGTAGCCAAGACGGAAAGCTGAGATGCTCTGTAGAACGCAGATGCTCCGCGTGGCCGCAATTTAGAGTTGGGGGAAAGGCACGCGAGCTTCACGATGCCCATTAGCACGGCCAAGGCCCCCTCTCACTTTGGACGAAACGGCCTGGTACAAACGCTCGGAGGACTTGCTAACTTGGAGTTAATCAACACGAATTTAGCTGCGGCTACAGGTACTGCTTGCTAGTGTGCTCAAGTGTACTCCGTACCGTACATTGACATCCATTTGATGATGTGCTTCATGTGTGTTTGGTGTTTAAAACGCAAGGCGTCGGTCTATTCCCGGCTGGTGAAGAATACTGTACTCGTACATGCAACCCGCACTGCAAGCACAAGGAGGTCCTCGTCTACACCAAGGAAGAAAGGCAAAATCCCCGATAGACCTTGGTAATAAAAAGACATGGAGAGAAAAAAACCTCTTCACACCCCTTGACGTGGGGCTTCTGGGATCGCTGGATTGGTTCACCGGAAGGGCCTTGGGGGTTGGCTGGTGCTTAGCGGGCTCCTAGTGAATAAGGCCTGGGCTGATGATGAACGCCAGCCTCCAGTTCCTGTCGTCACCTACGTCATAATTTTTTTTTTCGCTCCCCTAAGCGGCCTGGCTGCCGGGGGGTGTTTCTGGGGGGGCGATGACATGGGGGGGTTTTGTGGAAGCGCTTTTTTGGCATGCAGAGCCAAACTTTGCCCGCCAAAACCAGTCCATGCAGTCCATCCAGTTTCTGCGCCCCCCTTCGCGAGTCTCTGCAGCGTCCAGTCTCCAAGTCTGTTTTCCCCAAGCAAGAAAACGCCTCCGGCTCTGCAGCAGGCCTGGCCAGACCCGGAGTCTAAGCTACAGCAGCAGCAGCAGTGACAGCAGCAGTGACAGCAGCCCGGAGCCACTGACGGCGGCAGCAGCAGCAGCAGCAGCAGCCAGACCATTAACGACTCGGCCATCTCCCCACCCTTGCCCTGGCCCGTGGCTCGACTCGACTACCGCTGCCATACCAGACTCAGACTGCACTGCACTGCACTGGTTGTGGTCGCTACTGTATACCACACCTGCCGCACCGCTGTGACGTGTGAGGAGGCCCTATAGGGAAGCACACCTAACCACCACGCTTTTCCCGCACCAGACACTTGACCTGCAAACCTCTCCACACAACCAGCCCGTTTTGCCCGGCGTAGCGAGAACACCAGAGCGAAATAGAAGTCGAGGCCAGAGGGGACCGGGAACAAAGAGGCAAGAGACAGAGACAAGAAAGAAAGAGAAAGAAGAAAGAAAACAGAAGCACAAATAAGGGTTACGGGACACAGACAGAAACACGAGGCAGACGACACGGAGCCTGCAGAAAGTAAGTGACAGGAGCCGGACAAAGCAGAAAAAAGCAGGAAAACAAGACAGGTAGACAGACGGACAGACAGACGGCCAGTCAGTCCAGTCAAAGAGACCGCAGCCGCACAGAGACCACGCAGAGGCCAGAGACAGACCCGAGAAGCCATCACCGCACTGGCTGGCCCCTCCCCTCCGCCTTTGCTGCCCTCTCGCCAGTTACCGCTGCTGTCGTCTCTGAGCCTTTCCTGCGCCTTGGATGCTGCCGCCCTGTCCTGCGTATGCGGCATCCCACTTGCCGACCTGACCTGAGAGATCCACCGCCATCCCTCTTCTGTGAGAAGAGGCATGAGGCATGCCACGCCAGAGCTACTCGGCCGAAAAGAGAGCCCTGTTCTCGCCCTCTCTCCCCATCCCGGCTTCTTCTTCCTCAACCACAACCTCGACTGAGACTCCGTCTCCCACCTCGACGGCCTCCTGGACGCGTCGACTGGAGCTGCCCACCGGACCCTTGACTCATTGGACCGTCGATGCTACCGACCCGACCGCTGCGAGAAATGGACGAGTGACGGTCAGCACCTCGCAAGATCGATATGCGCATGCCAAAAGCGCAATGGCAGCACGCCGCTCTAGCTATCCGTTCTCTTCCCCGAATCCCACTGCAGACTCGACTCCTTCCAGGCCCTCGGTCTCGCGGCGTATAACTGATGTGAATGGCCGGGGTGCCAATGATGATGACCACCAGGACCAGGACCAGGACCAGGAACACAGCCAGAACCAGAGCCAGAGCCAGAGCCGGGACAATGTCGATGTCAATCTCCGTGTCGATACCAATGCCAATGCCAATGTCAATGCTTACATCAGTGCCAATCTCAACACCAATGTCGATGACGATGACGACGATAGCCACGACTGTTCGCCCACTGCTCTACGTTCCTCTGTAGCCAACGGTTCCTCAGAAGGTGAGACGCCAACGGCTGAGGCACAAGCCCAATCGCAGCAGAAGCTTGTTGAATATCGGGGAAAGTTGATCCGCGATCTGGAGCTGCGGGACCTCTCCGCTCACGAACTGCACCTGGGCCAGCCCGATAAGGCCCGCGTGGCACCCATTCTTGAGGATGCAGTCTTGAATTCCCCCTATCCAACCTCTACCTTTACCACCGCGTCGACCGAGTCTGGAAACACAATTCGAGGAGGCATGACCCCGGCACCCATTGCAAGCACTCCATCATACCCTTTCCCTCGGATGACTATGCCGCCTGGAAGCCTTGGCCCGTCAGGTTTTCTTCAATCCGCCACTCAACCATCAGCTGCATCAGGTTCCTCCCGCTCTCCCCAAGTGATAGCCTTTGAACATCGCGGCGTGCTTGATAGAGTCCTATCAGAGACGTCAACCCCGGCTTCGGTTTTGAACTTCCAACCAGGAACCACACCGCAACCCGACAACTTTGACTTCCCCACCCCTAACCTGTATGATCTCTCGTTAATGCTTTCTGCCGAACCAGGCCTCGATGCCTGGTGGAGCACAGTCGTCCAGGTTATGCGAGAAGTGTACAAGGCCGAGCGTGTGACGTTGGCAGTCCCAGCCGATACCACAGACATTGAGAACGTGCCTTGGGGACAAAAGGCTACATACAATGAACATGAGCAGGATGACCTCAGTATGGAATACTTGGCTAGGGGCACCAGTGCTGTACAGAGTACGGATAACGATGCCATCGATGATGTTGTCGCCAGCCCTACAGCTGGCACACCTGTGGACGGACCGAAACGACCTGGTTTCGTAAGCCGTCACTCCTTTACTAGCTTCGAAGAGAATAAAGAGAGGTCGCAGGACGGACTAGTAATGGCGGCACCTCGTCGGCCTACCTACTTGACGAGGAGTCAAACTCACACTGCATCCATCCACACTGCGGCAGCACAGACAAATGACCACGCCAAGCTCAACAAAAGCACCCTTGAGCAGCATGACTACATCGAAGAAGAGCAACAGCAGCAACAGCGAGATATCCCCAGCTGGGAAGCGCCTTTTGCGGCCAAGTACAACGGCCAGGGCAGAGTCCTTCCTGTTCTCCAAGCTCTTGATTATGAGGCTGACCCTCTAATTGACAACACTGGCGTCATGAGAGTGTTGGAGCGCGGGCGACCTGTTGCCTTGACAAGGAATTATCCTTACTTGGCGCCAGCGACTCCGTCTGTACCACCGACGGGACAGGCGGGAGTCCTCAGGTCTGGCCCAAGGACGCCCGGCCAAGAGCTGCCAAAGAAACCTAAGAATAAGAGATCCGACTCTGCAACCAAGCTGACGTCCTTCTTTTCCGGCGCCACAGGTGCCCGTTCCTCCATCAGAGCTAAGGTTCATTTTGGCGACACCATACTAGATGACGACAGCCCAAGGCCGCCCACTCCAAAATATGAAGAGTATGAACAAACCCCTCCGTCGCCGTGGTCGCAGTCTCCGGCACCGTCACCCGCAGTTAGGCCTGATCCAAAAGAAAACCCCTTCTTCACCGATGCTACCGTTGATGAGGACTCTTTTAACCCCGACCCCACACCGACGGATTACACCACGCTGCGCCCTCCTGAAGCTATTGGCGTTGATCACTCCTGGACGGTTCTGCATATACCCCTTTCAAACGTCTTGGCCTCTAAACTGCAGCCCCATCCCTTTAAGCTTGATGCCACCACGATGCAGCAGAAATCGCATTCGAGAAGCAGCCAATCACCAGAGAGCACCCATCGCCACCATCTTACGGAACCCGAGAGTCAAAAAAGAGACAAGCCCGCTCCAATTGCTATTTTATCCATTCTCAGCCCTGTCATCCCATACCCAGCCAACTTGCGGCACTCGCTAGAGCACCTTGCACCACATCTCGCCACGTCTTTTTCGCTGTGTCGACACTATACCAATCTCGAGACAGAACTTGCCGGGCTCAAGCGAAGAAGACCATCCACGACTGGATTCGGTGCAGTCTCGGCATACGGCCAGTCTGTGGAGAGCGCTGCTTACCTCGCTGCGGACGACGCGGCTGTTTTACAGCAATCGTTGCCTGGGAGCATCACCAGTCCAAGCGACTATTCCGGTATTTCTAAAAGTACGACCGGCTCACCGACGGGCACTCCCGGATGGGATTCAGGGGCTCTGATTTATCTTGCGGAAAGGCGACAGCCTGCGGCCAGTCCGGCGGGCATCTCTCAATCGTCAGGAGGGTATTTCGGCAGCAAGCTTGCGAGGCAGAGCTCACAGCGGTCTCGAGCTGGATCCAAGGAGGATCCTTCGGGAGACGTGCGACCATCTCGCTTGTCTGGCAATAAGGCCCCTCAAACTCCCCAGGCTGCCGTGACGGACACCGACGAGTTGGCAGATAAACACACAGGGAGCTCTGATGAACCTAATCCAAAGGATGTTCACTCCCGAAATAGCCTGGATGGAAGTATTGACCTTGACCCCTTGGTGGGCGATAGATACCTCGAGTCTTTGAAGTTCGACCAGGGTCCGTTGAAACGAAGTCACACTCTTCTGCACAGCTATGGGGCAGACTTCGCTTCGACGTTCCAATCACTTCCCCCCGGCGCCAGCCTACCCGGCCGGCCCCCGCTGTCATCTAACCCAGGCGTTCTGCAGAGAAGCAGCTCATTCATCGCCTCAGCTGCTGACATGCCACCACCTTCTGATAAATTGAAGGGCCTCATACTGGATTCGTTGCCGGCCCAGGTATTCGTTGCGTTACCACAGACGGGTGAAATTGTCTGGGTCAATAGCCGTTACCTGTCCTACCGAGGACAGACAGTGGCAGATCTATCCGCGGATCCTTGGGGTAGCATTCACCCAGACGAGCGCGATGAATATCTCAGCGCCTGGAGCCACTCGCTGCGAACTGGAGAGCAGTTTTCTAGTACGGTAAGAATTAAGAGGTTTGATGGCGCTTACAGGTGGTTTTACGCTCGTGCTGTAGCTTCCAAAGACAAGCGAGGGACTGTTGTGCAGTTCCTAGGTTCATACCTGGATATTCATGAGCAGCGCATAGCAGAAATCAAAGCAGCCCGCCAACAGGAGGTTGAGGCCTCAGAAGCGAAGCACCGCCTACTAGCCAACCTGATCCCGCAAATCATCTTTACGGCAACGGAGGAGGATGGCGTGACGTTTGCAAATGAGCAGTGGCTGTCTTACACCGGCCAGAGCTTTGATGATGCGCTGCGCCTGGGCTTTATGGATTTTGTTCATCCGGAGGACTTGGCCAGGTGCCGCATTCCTGCTACGCAGCCCGCGTCTTCACCATCGTCGTCAAACCGAAAGGACAACGGGAGCTCCAGCGCTAGTGACGCCACAAACACACCCACCGGCGTAACAAAGGAGCATTCGGCGGAGCCTCTGGGCCATGGGCGAAAATCAAGCAAGCAATTTGGCTCCGGCAAGGACGCAGGCTATCAGCTTGCCAATCCCGAGATAGCAGAGCTCGCCAAAAAGGGCGTCATCAAAGTGGGAACAGACTCCAATGGCAGACTATCCTACACGACGGAAGTCCGACTGCGTTCAAAGACTGGAGAGTATCGGTGGCATCTCATTCGCTGTGTTGAGATTGACACTATCGACTTTGGCAGCGGCGCAAGTTCCTACTTTGGCTCTGCCACCGATATAAACGACCACAAGCTTCTTGAGGCGAAACTGAAAGAAGCCATGGAATCAAAGGGCCGTTTCTTGAGCAACATGTCTCATGAGATTCGTACACCCCTTATAGGGATATCGGGCATGGTGAGCTTCTTGCAGGATACCACGCTCAATGAAGAGCAGCGTGATTACACCAATACCATCCAGACAAGCGCAAATAGCCTCATCATGATCATCAACGACATCTTGGATTTGTCCAAAGTAGACGCGGGAATGATGAAGCTAAGATACGAATGGTTCCACACTCGTTCGCTCATCGAGGATGTCAACGAACTCGTCTCGACCATGGCCATTTCCAAGCGACTTGAGCTCAACTACCTCGTCGATGCGGATGTCCCAGCATGGGTGAAGGGAGACAAGGTTCGGATCCGCCAGGTTCTACTGAACGTCATTGGAAATGCCATCAAGTTCACGTCGGAAGGGGAAGTTTTTAGCCAGTGCAGAGTATACACTGGGGACGACGCAATAGTAGGAGAAAACGAAATCATGCTCGAGTTTATCATTACCGACACTGGCCGTGGCTTCTCTGAAGAAGAAAAGGCACTCATCTTTAAGCCTTTTAGTCAAATCGACGAGAGCAGCACTAGACAGCACGGTGGCAGTGGACTCGGCCTGGTTATTTCAAGACAGCTTGTTGAGCTCCATGGCGGCAAGATGGAAGGGACAGCAATAATGGGGCAAGGGTCAACTTTCACATTCACGGCTCGTTGCTCGCTTCCTACGCTCGAAGACCGGCCTATAATGCCCAGCAGTCCAGGGTCAACGGCGACAATCGTGCCTCCTACAGCTGCCGAGGCTGAGCAGCGTGCCCATGATGAGATGCTTCCTTCCCATCCAACCCAGCGCGCCCACATCAGGGATGATACAAGCTTCACGAGTGCCGGGTTTACTTCTCCCGGAGGCAATTCAACAGGGAGCTCGAACCAATCCCCTCACTCTGGCCAGTCGCTTGTTACAGATCGGTCGTCCATTACATCGATGAATACGGGGCTGGCTCGTTTCAGCGAGGCTGCTAAAGCTAGCGGTCAAGACCTGTCACAAATGAAGCTTGAGATGCCATCCGACCGGAGCTCAGCGGCGCGGAGTGCAACGCCGGACAAGAAACTGCTCTCTGAAATATTCCGCCCGCCAATGTATCTGATACTGATTATCTGCCCGCAAACACACAGCCGTGAAGCTACTACACAACACATTGAGATGACACTACCAAAAGACGTACCCTATCAGATCACTGCTGTCGCTAGTGTTGAAGAGGCCGAAAATTACATCGGCGGTGATGACCCGATCCGGTTCACTCATATAGTCATCAACCTAGGCGAGGCTGAGGAGGTCATCAGTGTCATGGACCAGATTACAAAGTCTCAGAAGATGGATAGTACAATGATCCTGATTCTCTCGGACTCGGTTCAGCGTCAGGAAGTGATGAAATACTCGTCTGGCACCAAATTCGAGCAGCTTTTCTCGGATAATTTGGTCAACTTCATTTACAAGCCCGTTAAGCCATCGCGCTTTGCAGTCATCTTCGACCCGGATAGAAGACGGGATCTGAGTACCGACTGGAATAGATCCACTGCACAACAAATGCTGGAGAGTCAGAAGGCGAGCTCCCTAGAACTTCAAAAGCGTATGGGTAACAAGGGCTTCAGGGTTCTACTAGTGGAAGATAATCCAGTCAACCAAAAAGTTATGACCAAGTTCCTGATGAAGGTTGCAGTCGATGTGGACATTGCCGTTGACGGAGAGGAGTGTGTCGAAAGAGTCTTTTCGAAACCTCATGAGTACTACTCTCTCATACTGGTGAGTTAATGTGAACTCTTTTGACTTTTGGCATGTCTAAACCGAAAATGCGTTCATTTGGCTAACTTGTATCACAGTGCGATCTCCACATGCCACGCAAAGATGGCTATCAAGCCTGCCGAGAGATTCGGGAATGGGAACTGTCGCGTGGCTATTCTCAGATGCCCATCATTGCACTCTCTGCAAACGTCATGTCGGACGTTCAAGAAAAATGTGCTGCGGCGGGATTCAGCGACTATGTGACGAAGCCTGTGGACTTTATTGATCTCAGCAGGGCCATGTCCAGATTTTTCTAAGCTTCTTTTCTCTCTTCTTCTTGTTGCCATAAAAGGCTTTACTTCTTTTTCACAGCCCGCATTATCTGCTGGGAAATCTTTTGGCAAAGGTTGGCGGCTTTTAGAGGATGTACAAAAAGTTCTTCTCTTGGGCCCCCTTTTCTTCTTATTTCTTCTACTGCATCACCGCCATCATCATCATCACCTTCCTCCTTCTTTCTATCTCTTCATCTTTCTCTCTCGCTCTTCATGACTAATCTGAATAACATTGGAGAGCCGAGCAGTCTTGTGGTATCACGTTCTACAGCAGGCAAAATCATGTTTTGAAGGGCCCTCTTGACGGATTTTTTAGGGCCACTTGAGTCATTCTATGGTTGCTTTTAGGGTGAGATGGAAAGATGGACGGGTTGTATTCTTGTTGTTTTCTTCTTTTTTTCGCCTTTTATTTTTTCTTCTTCTTCATGGAATTTCTTCTCTTCTCTGTTCTTAGCGCTGGCATCAGATTGGCAAGACAGGGGAAAAAGACTAGGGAGGCAATTATTCAGGGCTACGGCTGGGAAAGACTGGGCAAAGGGTTAATTAAATAAAGGACAGGAATGGACGGAGCTCGTTTTTTTTTCTTTAGGATTTTTGTCTTTATTCTTTTTTCAAGGGGTCGGAGCGACCACTTTGTATGCAGGCAAGATGGGGTTTGTGTGTGTGTGTGTGTGTTTTTTTTTCTACTCTGTTCATATTAGGGGATTATATTTCTAGCCTCATCCTCATCCTTCTTCTGTTCTTCCACTCTTCTCTTTCCTTTTTTTTCCACTTCCTGGCCTCGTCGTCTTGCGTGCTGCATGCTTGCTATTGATTTGGTCTTTTGTATTAATCTGACTGTTGACATTGTTGTTTTCGAGAAATAGGACGGGAGAGGAGAAAAAACAAGGGGCCATCCTGTCGTCTTTCCAATACCAGGAGGGCATGGACTTTGGGGTTTCTTTCTATAAACGGATGGCTGAGTGGTGGGGGAAAAAACAAGGGTGAAGAAGAAAACTTTTTTGACATTTTTTGCTGGGTTCACACCAGCTTCTTGAGAAATTTCGCGACATTTTCATGCGCTTTAGGTAGGGGAAAGGGTATTTTAATGGGGATACCATGGCGACAGACGGCCGAGAAGTGAAAACGCTGTTGTTAGCAAATTAGCCATAGGAAGAGATATAGTTAATAAAGTTGATATCCGTTCCAAAACTGCCCCAGCACCTCAAGATGATGTAATATCGATATATTCCATAATCCATCTAACAGTAAAGCCAACGCTTTTGTTTCCCAACTTATAACATCCAGACAATCCAGTCTATATAGGTATCAAATCACCCCAAACAAAACAGTACCAAAGTCGCTTCGTCTGTCACGCTTATCCAGCCCAATGCAACGACAATTTTTCTTTTCAGAATACGCTTCCCATGATACTTTTATCCTCCTTTTCGACCTCGTCTAGATCCTCCGCCTCGGGCTCATGGTCCGCTGCGCTGGCATCTGGCCCAGGCTCATCTCCAAGGCGGTTAGCCAGTGCGCTGCCAGATTTAATTCGAGAATCTAGGGACGCCATACGGGTGCGACGAGCAGTCTCATCGTCCGATGCCTCGGTGTCACTACCCGCAATCGAGGGGTGACCTGAGTACGTGCCGCCGGCATCCCGTCCGACGTGTAAATGAGCAGCTTTGATGTGGCGTATTCGATCCTCCGCGGTGATAAAGGACGGTGTGCCGTCAGGAGAGGAAACAATCTCGTCAAGAGCCCGAGCCGCTTCGATGTTAACTTTCTTCTTGGTTTCCTTTGGAGATTCTTCGTTGTCGCCCTCATCAGAGCTGTTCGATATGTGGCGTTGCTGTCTCCTTGCGGCGAGATTCGTGGCAGAACCCTTTTCCTCGTGCCGTGGCACATGTGCCGCCCTCTGATGGCTGTTGTAATGAGCAGCATGGTTGCAGCCATTCGGGCAGCCTCCCCACCGACGTACGGCAACGAAGCTCTGAGTGTGTTGAAGCTTGAAATCATCCTTGGCATCCTTAGCATCCTTGGAGTCCTTGGAGTCCTTGGAATCCTTGGAGCTCTCGCCACTCTTGTCCTCGTCGTCCTTTTCCTTGTCTTTAATGGCTTGTGTCCTCTCCCTCCGCAGCTCGGACCAAGTGCGTAGCTTGTTCTCCAGATGATACTTGCCATTATCTTGTTTGCGCATAATGAGAAACTCGCAATGGTTAATGTTTCGAAGGTCCTCAAAATACTCGACAGAAAAGTGATACCACTTCATGAGGAATACACGAGACATGAGGCCGTGAGTAACTATACGTTGTTCGTTAGAGATGGAATCACGGCGAGAATGCCATGGGAGGAAGCTCACCTAGGACACACACGCTGGCAAAGTCGTCCTCGCCAAACTGGCGCCACAGACTCTCGTTGAAGCCGCTAACCCGGTCGTAGGCATCCGCAGCACTCTCTCCGTCGGGGATGCGGTAGAAGAAGTGGCCATAGTCGGCCCTCTCCTGCCACATGCGCTCCATCTCGGTGCTGCAAGGCTGGAAGTTGCCAAAATCCTGCTCCCGGAGACGAGGCTCCTCGTAGACCTTGATGCTGGATCGACGGTAGGGCGAGGGTTCGGGGTCGTCCGACGTCAAAGTGGCCAAGATGCCCTCTGTGGTCTCTCGTGTGCGACGATACGGCGAGGTGAAGAAGTGGAGGGTGTCGTCCGGGCGGAGCAGCTTGCGCAGGCGGCGGCCAGCCTCGTGGGCCTGAGCCCAGCCATCTTGCGTGAGCTTGACGCGGTGATCGGGGATTGTCTGGTGTATCTCGCGGTTCTCTGGGCGCAGGCGGTCAGTTATGTCTGGTCAAAGGGCATCGAGGAAAACGGGGAGAAGGGCTTACTGTTGCCCTCGGATTGGGCATGGCGGATAAGGATAATCAGCCGCGGCTTTGCCATGGTCGCTATGCGCACGTGCGGGTATCAAGTAAGATGCTGAGGCTCAAGATGGGAAGTTCGAATCGATCGATCGATCCGCGGGACAGGCAGATATTAATAGATGGTGGTGGGGTGGATGGTGTGTTTTGTAAGCGTTGGTGGGATGATAGTTTGGATGTTGCTGTGTTTCGAACTACTGGCGTCAAACACCCCTTGTCCCGAAACCGGCTCACGGGGAATATCAGGGCTGGCGGAGGAGGAGAGAGAAGATGGAGTTGAGGGAGATGAGATGAAACAAAAGAGAGCCAGAGCTTGGAAAATGGCGAGTTGAGTTGTTTAAAGCGACAGAGAGGCTGCCTTGGGCTAGATGAATGGTTGGGGAGATGGGATGGGCAGCATTCAAGGTGGCGGGCGGCAACCGGCTGTTAGTAAGGCTGAGATACCTGTACCTGTACCTGTACATATCCATTACCTGTACCGGTAGGTGCCGGTACGATTTACAGGTACCGGCCACTATAAACCCGCTGAGAGCCGGCAGTGTCTGGCGGTAGATGAACCACAAGTGCGTTAATGGAATCAAATCAAGATTAGCATGCACCTCGTGCAAACTATAATCCATGTTTCCGCCGCCTGACCTGCGAAGATTTTGCCTCAAGTGGCTCGGTTAGTGCTCCCTTGAAGCTGTATCTGAGATGATGAATTGCTTAGAAAGCTGCCGGAAGGAGAGCAGGAGGCGGATCGTTGTGGCGCAGTTTGTGATGGAAGTTTCGAGGCTGTAGCAGGACATCATATAATCCTGGCCTACGGAGCACAGAGCACAGAGCACAGATATGTAGCAGATGATACTCTAGCATATGCGGCGTAATATTCTCTTGTCAAGAGATCTTCTCATCGTCGGTATATATTAAACGGCCCAATATACTCGTAGGCCTGGAATGAACCTGGAATGGCCTACCCAAGACCTCGGCTTCTGGCGTCCATCTACGGTCGCTGCCCCTCCTTATAAGGCTCAACTCCCTGTAACCTATACTTGGTTTAGTGCCTCTAGCAGCCCATCCATCGGCATTGGTAGAAGCCGTCATGGCTGCCTGTAGTTAGTTGTGATTTTTTTCTCTACCTCTGCCTGCTCTCACCAGACAAACGACATTTACAACCTGCATCGCCAATTCGCTCTCCGTCGCCTCACAAACTCGTCCACAGTCTGTTTGAACACACAGCATACCATTGAGCTCCGAAAACAAACTCCCGCTTCTCTTTCCACAGCTACTTTCCCCTTGGTCGCATCGCGTCGCAAGCATCACCAACCAGCTTCAAAGCCCATCAAAACCACCACCACCCCTTCTTCACACGACCAAAGAAACACCAGCCCACCATGTCCGCCGAAGGCCCCGAGTCAATCCCCACCTCTGCCGACCCTCGCTCCAAGCGCCCAACCAAGCGACGCGCCCTCACCCCCGTGTCCGCCCAAGCCGCCTCCGTCGACGCCCTCTTCGCGAAGCCCGACCAGGAGATCCGCATGCCCTCCTCCTCCGCCCTCGTCCCCGGCAGCAAGCGCCCGCCGCCCCCCGAAATCGTCACAAACGTTCAGGGCTCCAGCGCCGGCGCCGGCTCCGGCGAGTTCCACGTCTACAAGGCCGCCCGCAGGCGCGAGTACGAGCGCCTGAGGGAGATGGACGACGAGGTCAGGCGGGAGCGCGACCAGGTCGACTTTGAAAAGGACAAGGCTGAGAAGCTGCGCAAGGACGAGGAGAAGACGAGGAAGAATCGCGAGAAGAGGGACAAGGCTAAAGCCCGAAAGGCGAACAAGGGCAAAGGTGGAGGGAACGGCGACAACGCAAAAGGACCCAATGGCGATGGCAATAAGACATCGGCGCCTGGAACGGATGATGCCTCTCAAGAAAACAGGAAACCCAACACGGGCGAGAGTGGAGCCGTTAAAAATGACAATGAGAAAGCTACCACCGCTTCCACAGAACCCGTGGGCCTCGTCATTCACGATGACGACTGATGAAAGAAAGTTGGAGAGGGACAGGGGAAGAACGCAAAACAAGGCTGGAGATGTGACCGAAGAGTCTTCTTTTATCGCCTTCAAACACAGTCGGTGATATTGTAACAATATACTAGATAGAAGCAGTGATACCCGTATAGAATGCCATTTCATAGATCTATGTGTCGCCTCTTTCAGCGGCCCTTAGTTTAATACCAATGTCTATTTTGAAAATTTTCGTTTCTCCCCTTAGATTCGTCTGGAAATGCTCCCACCTCAATCCCAACAAGCGTTGGAACAGGATTTGGCCCTTCCAAGCAAACCCGACATGCTATCCTCCCTGATCATGGCTTCCCGGGGCATCGTTTACGTCTTCAATCCTCAACCCTTGCACAAAACTCCCACTCGTTTAGTCGTCACCACCTCCAACTCCAGGGGCGCCACCCTGCTGCATCTTCTTGGCACTGCAGATATCGTCTACTCTTAGTAACAAACAGGCGGCCTAGGGATCACTCAAAGTTAGCTTAGGCTCTTTTTTTGGGGGCAAAGGTTTTAAAGGGCGACCCAACAACATACCTCAATAGCAGTCTTCAGACTCTGCAGCTTAATAGCTTCGGGCTCCCACACGTTATACTCGGTCATATCCGCAATTGCACCAGTATCACCGTTGACGCCCCATGAGCTCTTGCCCTCGGCTTGCTTGGCGCGAAGCTCTGTCAACACACGAACCGGGCTCTTGCCGGCATTCTGCACCAGTGTCCTGGGGATCACCTCAAGAGCATCAGCAACCGCCTTGTACGGCCACTGCTGGACACCCTCGACACCCTTGGCCTTCTGGGCCAGCCGGACGGAGACGGCCATCTCGGTAGCACCACCTCCAGGTGATAGTCGGGGGTGGAACATGACGTTTCGGGCAACGCCCATGGCGTCCTGGAGGTTTCGCTCAATCTCGTTGAGGACGTCTTTGGAGGGACCGCGAAGCAGGATTGTGCAGGCCTTGGGGTCCTGGCACTGTGTGAGGAATGTGAAGTACTCGTCGCCAATCTTCTCAATGTCAAACAGACCGCATCGAGTGCCGACATCTGACTCTTGGAGATCCTCCACTCTGTTGACGATGGTTGCACCCGTAGCGCGAGCTATTCTGTTGTTGTCCGTCTTGCGCACTCGGCGGAGGGCGGTGACATTGGCCTTCATGAGGTAGTGCTGGGCCAGATCTGAGGGCAAAGTTAGCTATGAGGTCATTGACTAACAGAGTCGTGTAATAGCACTCACCAGAAACACCCTTTTCAGTAATGACCAGATCAGGTCGAACAGACAGGATGGTATCGCACATCATCTTGATCTGCTCCTCCTCGATCTGCAGAATTCGGTTCCAGTCCTCCTCCTTTGTGATCTCAATGTTGGTCTGGGATTCACCCTTCTTGTACTCCAAGGGGCAATCCAGCAGGACAATTCGGGGGTTTTCGATGCGTCGTCGCATCTTGGGGTGCGTGATATCCTTGTTCAACATGAGTCCATCCAAAACCCTGCTATCCTCAATCTCGCCACCAGGAACCTTCTCGATACGGGCATATCGCTTGATGTCCACCTCAGTCTTGCCATTGCCGGCTTCCCATGTAACGGTTCGCACAGCCTTGAGAGCAAGAGAGCACATCTGATCCATCCATCGAGAGACGAACTTGGTGCCGATCGAGGAGGAGATGAGCTGGGCCATGGCCTTGTCGTCATTAACATCGATCGGTAGGGAGATCTCGTCGATAATGTCGATGGCATCCTTCAGGGCACGCTTGAAGGCAGAAATGATGACGACGGGGTGGATATTACGCTCGAGTTGAGGGAGGGCCTGTGCCAGGATTTCTCCGGCTAAGTCAAAGTCAGAACCAAACTTCTTTCTCATCTCTCGAGTCTCCCCCTTTTTTTGGCCCCTCCCCCTCTATTCGTTGGGCCATCCTTTGCAGCAGGTGGGAGAAAAGGAAGCAGACATACCCAGGATAATGACTGTGGTGGTACCATCGCCGACCTCTTCATCCTGTGTCCGGCTGAGCTCGATCATGCTCTTGGCAGCAGGGTGGGAAACTTCGATTTCTCGGAGAATGGCGTGGCCATCGTTGGTCAGGACGATACCGCCCATGGGGTCGAGCAGCATCTTCAGCATGGCCTTGGGGCCGAGACATGATCGAATGATATCGGCAACACTGGAGTAGAGAAAAGGAAAGTCAGCTAGTTTTATTCGGTTTGGTCCAGCTGGCGGATGCATCAACCCACGTTTTGGCGGCAGCAATGTTGGACAACTGAGCTCTCCGTCCGGTCTGTCTCTCACCAGCATTGGTGTCTGCGAGTAATGCGTCAGCTTGTAATCACCGGGACCAACGTCCATCTCGGCCCGCGTGTCGAGAAGAAGCCACCGCCTCTCTCCTGATAGAATAGCAAGGTGGGCATTGGGTATACGCACTCATAACCAACACAGGGGCCTGCATGGTGGGCTATTTGCTTCGCGCTCGGCGGCTCGCAACGGGAGGGAAAGAGGCTGTGAGGGGGTGAAACACAAAGACAGCACCTGAAAGGAGCTTTAGGTCAGACTGGACGCGCCTCCAAGAGCAGCTTTAGGGAGTCAGGCCGGGAGTAGCTTTTGGGGATGTGCAAAGTGGTGGTTTGGAGGGGCGCACACTAGAAAAGTTCCCACGATGCCTGGCGGGCTTTGGTGGGGAGGCTGCAGTTGGCCAGCTAGAAGGTTCACTTAGGCGGTAGCTGCCAGCGCCTGGTCTGGTGCAATGTTAACCCGGCCCGCAATAGGGAAAAAAAGATGGAGGTACATGTACTTGGTACGCGTGCCCCACGCAGGACTCTTTTGGTGGCTTTGCGATTATACTGATGCCTGGGCAGCTTTACTGAGCCACAAGAATGGGAACAAGAATTGACAAGGAGGAAGAATTAAGGGGTTTATATATAATATCTCGAGGCGGCCTATCTCTAATACCAACCACCTAGGTAGGCAATGAATAGGTAAGTAGGCAGTAGACATCATGATAGGAGACGGAGGTACCCCGTGATGCTCCCTCCAAAGTACCGGTACTTGGAGCCTCTCCTTGGACTCCAATCTGGCATTTGTCATCGACAGCCTGAGTGTCATCAGCCAATCAGAGGCGACAGCAGCTCCTCCATTTGCCCAACCAGGCATTCTCCCTGGCTTGTAAATGGACACAAGTAATGCGTTATTGAAAGCCGTCTCAAGTTGCAGTGGTTGCAAGCAGAATTCTAGACGACCATGGTGGCATCTCATGATATCACAGCAGCATGTTTCAGGTGGCATCCAAAGCTCCTTGTCTGCTTCCCGTATCCCTCCCTGGCTTTGATCAGCTGGACATGCGTCGAGCAGGAGTAAGCAGCAACAATTCGTCTTTTGGCACTGTCGGTCCGAAGATTCCGTTCCTTTGTGTTCTCTCCTGTGTTAGCTCTCTCATCGATGGAGCTGTGTAGAGCTGGTTCGGTGTTGAGGCGGGGAATGCCCACACACGTAACTCTCTACTGAGACACCTACGTCCATAGAATTAGATGGACAGGTCGCCTCTAACGCAGTCTACTTGTACACATTCCATTCCATTCGTTTCTATTTTTAGTCATTGATATGAACTGTCAACTAGATATACATAATAAGTCTCGGCATGCGATTTCTCGAAACATCATCTGGTCACTTGATGTTCCACAATGGCATTGGAATACGGATTCACACATCAGCAGAAACTTACGGGTAGATCAGCTCACAGTGAGAACTGCTGCGTTTACGATACAGGCCGTACTAGACAATCGACAAACTCAGAGTGAGGACCTTCTAGTTTCGGGTCATCTTTTATGGGTAGCGATTACTACCGTCAAGCTACACCACATCGTTAGAAAGCAAAATGATTAATTCAGATCCCTAATCTCTAGAGAAAATCACAAGACAAAACAAAACACTAGCTATCCATGCCCATCCAGCAGTACCACACATTTAAGAAGAAAGAAAGAAAAAGAAGAAGAAGAAAGAAAGCTAATAGTCGTCTGACTTGATTTCATTCTTGAGGTTCGAAGACCTCCCCTCGCCGCTCAATCTCTTCGCCTTGCGAGGCGTCTGAGCCTCAGTGCTCTTCCCTGACTGTGTTATTCCCTCGGGCTGCTGAGGGGCCACATGAATCCACTTAGCATCAATCCCCGAAAGTGCGTAGACGAGACACGAGTCCGTCTTCATGGCCTCTTGTACCCTCTCCCACTGCATCTCGTCGGCGTCCGTCCTGAATCCGAACCACATCGAATCGACATCGCCACTTTTCTTCGATGATGCTATACTAGGCACCCCATCCCGGCTGTAGCGAAATGCCAGCGCCCTTCTCCGCTGAGAATTTTGTGTGTCCTGCCGCACGCTATGTGGAATTGTAATGTCCATAATGTAGTCCCCGTGCGTCTCTTTCTCAGGGGCGGGATACAAGCTCCAGGCATCTTCCAGTGTCTCTATTTGAGACTTTGGGATCGCGATGATGACCCAGGCTTCGCATTCTCCTTCTTCTTCCTTGGATACATCTGGTGCTGGATGGTGCTTCAGCTCGTAGGCTGCTAGTGGTCTGCAGATTTTGAGCCACATCCAAGTCGTTATATGGCCGAATTGGTCAGGTCTTGTAATTAATTGCTATTAGTCAGGTTCAACAGCATCATCCACATTTAATACTTACACATCAGACTCATATAGTGTGATATTCCCCCTTTTGGCATGGAGAACCAAATTGTCTGCTGGCTCAACGATAGGCTCCCGCGGCACAGATCCAAGGGGCTCCCCCTTGAGGTCGCTATGCCTCTTGATTGTCATGAAGCCGCAAAAGTCTATCTGCAGCTTTCTATAGCCGTGTTCACGACAAGCAGATTGGAGAAACAGTCGCAATCTGTCTCTTGGCTCTTGTTCGCCTGAAATCTCCACCGGGGGCGCAAACGGATGGTCATTTGCTAGCCTCAAGACTGCCTGCAGTCTCCGACTTGTATCTCGTCTATATTCTCAACACGTTAGCGTCCATTTTCCTCTTATGTGAGTTTATATCTGCATTTGTTTACCTTTGAATCATTCTCTGCTCAAAATGGTCGGTGAGAATTTCTCTTCGTTGGTCTAAATCCTCTGCCCAGAGCCCCTCTTCCACCTCTCTTGGAAGCATCACCACAGACCCGGGTGCATCATTTAAACTCCGGTTAATGCTTGGATTCACACGGAATGCTTCGTCTATAATTTGTTGTAAGCTAGCTACTGGAGCATAGCTTGGTTGGTTGTGGGCTGCCTTCTGCTGCTGCCTCCTAGCGAAGCCGAAAGACACCCCTGCGAAGAGCTTTTCTCGCACCGACATCTTCTCCATCTCCCCATCTGTTGGCAGGCGATTCCATCTCTGGCCATTTTCAAGCTTCTTCTTCTTGCCAATAGGGCTATCAGGGTGTTGAGGAGTGGGAGTGCGCTTGGGCATGATGGCAGAAGTCGATGGCTTGGTATTGGGAATATGGGTGAACTATGACAAGGCTCGACTCGATAGCGGGATGATGAAGAAGTGGGAGTTTCGATTTAATTTCCAAAATTGAATGACCTTTAAAACAGGAAGCAAATTGAGAAGTGGGCAGCTGGCAAATCGCCTGTCGATTCACTTTGGCATCAGATTGTGGTGCCGCCAGCGGATTGCCAGCTCGCCAGCTGATTGAGGTGTATAGATATTCTATTTTGTAAAAAGCGTGGTGCCTCAATACCTTGTCAGATATGGTTCAATAAAAGGCCGTGTATACCTAACCCTTGGATCAAATGAGTAGAATTATATTCTAAGATCGTTCGATCGTACGCAGCCAGTCGAGCCAACCTTTGGAGATATGAGCTTCTTGGGGGTAGATAGCGTCCTCTGCTCAAATGTTTCTCTTTAATCTGACAGATCACGCTGAAACCCATCTATGAATACCCTCCATCTATAAACGCCATGGATATTCCCTGAACGGATGATACGTCAACAGAACAGTAGCATCCTACCTGCAAGTACATGTTCTCAGGTGATGTCTCTCTTCTGCATATCGCAACCCAAGAAAGAGTCCCTCCACCTATAGAAGCGAGATTGCATTTTCAGATCCATGGATGGCTTACTCATGGAGAGACATTCTCTGAACAAGCAAGATGAGCCTCTAAGTATGTACCTACATGTCTGTTCACTAGGCCCAGGCCCGCGATTGATTCGAATTGACACTGTTCAAATTGATGAGTAGACGACCCAAATAAATGATAGAATAAATCCTGGAGGAAAAATAAAATTTGTAGCTTTCGCAACTGTTGTTGTTCACTGCAGCAAGCCGTTCCCCAGAGAATGCCAGCTTGTGTAGCCGACATCTCACGCTCCACCACCAGCTCCACGTACTCACACATATTTTAGTAAAAAAAAAAAAAAGACAATTCAAGCATTGCTGGCATTGGATCTCATCCGCTGCTACATGAGAGATACAAACCCATCAGTACAGTCAAGTACCTACCAGGCAAAGCGGGCATGATTTACCATCACACCATCCCAGCCGTGTGATAATGCATGTCCCAGCCACAACTGTAGGCAGCATCACGGATTACGATTACAACCAACAGCCTTTATATGTACAATGCAAGGGAGAATTGCGAAAATATCAGCGTGATGCTGCCCCGCCGGCCAGCCGTGATCAGACAATCCCAGCCTTCTCAGCTTCATGCACACTCCCCTCCATCATGATCGGCCTCCCTAGGCCCGGGTCTCTCCCGTCTTTCCGAATACCTGGTATCCGTGGCAATTACCCTTAGACATGTCTCCCGACGTCTCACATCTCCGCGCGTTAGTACGATTCTGGCAGGCTCGAGAGCCTTGTTGCTGTCATGTGCTTGGTTCTTCGTACGAGTGAGTACTGCCGTAGTATAACTTTGGTGCATATGCATACAAAGTCCTATCAGCCGCACCAGTCTACGGCTACAGTTTTCACTGTTGGTCATAGGGGAAAAGCTGGGAACAGACTGCTGGCATTTTCGGCTTCATGAACTTCACGTTGGTAGGAGATGTTTATAGCATAGATACTGCGTGTACTTGTATCGAACTATCAAAAGGACAGAGAAGCATGGTACAATGAATGAGTGACAAGACTAGGATGATAAATTAGCAAATGAACGGCAGTGAAGAGAGAATGAATCGAGCTGAAAACTAAAAAGTATAGCAGCCCTCCTCATCTACCTCGAGCAAGACGATAAATCCCATGCAAGCCCCTGTGACAAAAGCAAAAACAACACAGCAGAAAAAGCAAAGAGCAGCAAATAAAACACAACTATCCAAATCGAACGACTAGATCCTCTGCAAATTCCCACTTCCGGCCCTCTCCATTCGAAATTGGGGGCCTGAACAGTGCACACCGCTTCGTGCCTTCATCCTTGTCCTTATCCTCAATTGTCCTGGGAGCCCTCATCGGCAACGGTAGATTCCTCTCGGCTAGGGTTGTCATAATAGTAAGGCGAATTGCCAAAGTTACCCATAGTATAAGAGCCCCCATTGTAAACCGGATAGGCAAGCGGCATAGTGTAATAGTGCATTCGCATAGTGTTCTGCAGGCTCATGCTAAGCATGAAGTGGGCAAGAGCCAAATAATCATCATTCGCCAACCCCTCTGTGCCGTCTGCGTGGCCAACAGCGTCGGCTTCGCTCCGATTGAAGCTGCCAGTGCGACGGCGTCGTGGAGTGGCGGCCTGGTATGGCGATGGGATCTGCCTCGGTGTCGCTCTCTGGCCTCGACTCCCCCCGTTTAAGCTTGCTCTCCGGTTGGAGCGTGGCCGCAGTGGGTTGGTCTCTCTAACCCTAATCTCTAGAGGTTCGGTTTCGTTTCGGCCATCAATGATTAAACATCGCTCTTTAAATGGTTCGTTTTCCATGTATGCTAAATGGCCCCAGGTTAGCGTCCCATCATCAGGTCAAGATGCCATTACCAGAGCTCTTTTGGGGGGTTTACCAAGCGCTGTTGTAAAATTCTCCTTGCCCTTGAGGCGGATCCATCCCGAACTGCTCAAAGGAAATATTTCGACATAATCAACAGGGCAAGATGTTGAAACCCAATCTTTTATCCCTTGCCAGGTCGAATGAAATGGCAACTATTCGCCACCATGTTAGCAGAAAGTCAAGACTTGGGATGTAGAATAGGGCACGTAGGGTCAACTCCGCTGAGTGACGAACATTGCAAAAGGTAATGTAATAGTCCCCAGTCTCGTCGCCTGCTCCAACGCGTATCATAGATGTCGGAGAGTTCACGTTTCTCGGCATGATGAGAGATAAGAAGGGGAGATATAAAGGTTCTGTATCGATGCGGACGAGAGGATAAAGTTGAACTTTTATGGTCTTCACCTCGGGGAGCAGCAGCGGTATTTATAGAGAAAGTAGCCCACATACAGACGAAAACCTCTGGTAGCAGCACGGGCAGTAGGCTACATTCATCATATCTTAGCCTGGAGAAGGTCGCTTGCTGTATGTTTGCTCCAACACCAGGCTAGCAGCCAGCTATTGGCAGCCAAACACATCTCACATCACCTACTTGTCTCTCCTTCTCCATCTAACCACCAGTTAAAGCTCGTAAAGGCCGTGGGCTCCATCTGGTTGCCGATGCGACACCGAGAAATCGGCCGCAGTCAGTCTGCGCTCTCCGACGCAGCGCTCCGACCGTGAACGCCATACCCTCGGATTTGGGCCACTGTCTCAAATGACGACGCTGGGCTCTCCTATGCTCATATACGTGATCTAGAACATCCAGACCTGAAATTCAGGGGGTTGGGCTATCATACGCTCACACTATGGCGTATTTGCATAAACATTGGGACATCGCCTGCACGAGGCACAGCAGGCTATCTCAGCTTGTGCAAGAACGCGAAGAAGAAGAGTAGAAACTCGGGACAACCAAGAGTACAAACGTGATGGAAGTACTATCTTTGTACGGCGGTCGTTGGTTTTAGTGGCTAAATAGTTGATATCGGCAGACTGGACTGCCTGGAGTGCTGAGATGCGGCACTTCATGTTGTTTTTCCTCAAAATTTGACGCGACCACACACCTCATCCTTTGAAACAGGAAATCCCGTCTCCTTTTTTGCCATGCATTTGTTGAGTGGCTTGTTTAGAGCCTGACTTATGACTATCCAGCCTCCTTGGCAGTAAAAAGAAAAGAAAATACAGGAAGCAGAGGCGTTCCTTTTTCTTGTTCCCTCCACCATGCATGTACACAACCCCCTTGCGCCAACATGTCCTTGCAAGGTCTTACAATCATTTGGCACCCATGGCAGCCAAAAACGCCACAGATTAGCTGAACGGAGCCTGATGCAATAGGACATGTGCAATGCATTTTGCCCGTGTGGTGCAGCCGCTTTACAAGTACCGGAGATGCTCCTCGTATATTTCTCATCTAATGATTCCCGATAGTGATGAGGCGTGATTGTGTTGTGTATCAAAGATCATCCATTATTGCTCTTATATGCGATGCAATCTAACTAATTTTAAAGTAAAAGGTATCATCCACGGCCTTTGTTTCATCTGTGTCACTCATGGCATAGTGAGCTGATGTCGGGCTGTCATATTCCATCCCGCCACTGCTGTGGTCTACGGCAGCTTGCTGCCAAGGGTTCGAATCCTGGCCAGCATTAGACGGAGACAGCAAAAGATAGTGCTGCGCATCAGAGACAAACAAGACCGGAAATTCAGTCTCACGGTTGATCCATGAAACTTGTGTTTTGCCCACCGCTCTTCCATCTGGTAAATTGTCCTCTGGCACGAGAGACGTCGGCCCATTAGACAGCGGATCCCAGATGAACGACACTCCACGCTGTGCTGGGTCTTGTGAAGTAACCAAAAGAAGCTCACGGGAGCTCGCATGCCACTGGAAGGAAACAGTAGTGTGAAAGATCAAGACGGCTCGAAGCTCGGCCGCAACAACATCCCAGATCCATAGAGTGCATGGCGAGTCATCCAGTCTTGTTGCCAAGAGGGTCGAGGATGCGTCAAATGCAGCCAATGAGCAGCCAAATTTAGCTTCCGCAGTCGCAGGTTGAGCATCAGTAGCAAGCCCAGGGGGTGACAATACCTGAGTCGCCCTGACGAAAGTGTGGGTGGCTCGCGCTTGTGGAGATTCGGTTTCGATCTTCTCTTGCCATACCTGAGATGAGTTTAGTATCACAAAGATCTCTTGAACATGCTGTGTACATGCTGCAACTCACCTGGAGTGTATCCTTTGGTACTATGGTGGCGGGATGAGGTAACCTCAAGTGCGCTCTCCAGGATGGTGTACGGAGAATAGTGACACCCCTGCTGTAATCTCCAATGGCACACAGTTCTGCATTAGGACTCAGCTGACAGGTTTTGATCCCAAGTTCCAGGTCAGCATCTGGTCCTTTCAAGAGATTAGACGCCGTAATGGTGCGGAAGTGTTCGCCATCAGGCGTGTAAATGAGGAGGCGGTGACCTTGGGCAGCTGATTCCCAGAGAAGAAGCCACTGGCCGTCAGGGGTCCAGGCGATGCCCTGAGCATCGAGCATCTCCGGGCTCCAAGATCTCAGCACTTGCCGATCAACGGGATGATGGAGGCTCACAATATCCCTGCCACCGGAACGAACGAGTAATGCCAAATGCCCGGTTTCTGGACGGAGGGATAGGCCTCGTAATGCAGAGGCGGATTGGTGAAACTTTGGGCTCTCAATCTCAACAGCACCAGAGCGACACACATCGATGACTACAAGTTTTAAACCAGATGCGGACCAGATTAGAAGCTCTGTATCTCGAGCTCCAAACTGAACAAGAGACGGCTTCCCGCCGCACAAAGAGCCATAATTGCGGACTGTTGCGTGAAACTTGGAACCACTAAGCGCCCCAAACAGCTCCAGCTGGTCGGCTGTAGAGATGAGAAACTTGGAGGACGACGGAGCCCACAGCAAAGTAGGCGCATTCGCCGAGCTGCCTGCCGCCGAAGAAGTGTGTGGAGATCCAGATCTGGAGGACAAAATTACGGCGTTAATGACCTGTAGAGTCCCAGTTGAGCGGACAACCACCTCCGAGGACCTGAGGGTTGCAATGAATCGGCCATCTGGACTCGGCTTGCAGTGAGGCGACGCTGTGATATCCGACAATTAGGACCTCATCCGAGCGGCGAGAAGCATTGGGAGTAGTGCGAGTATGCATACATACAATCCAAAGCTACCGGTGAAGCCATTAGAGTGGTCTAGACTGTCTTGAGAGTCGCCCAATGGAGCTGTTGGACGATAGGGTTTCGTATACGAATACAGCAGTGCAGAGAGGGAAGGAGATTGGCCGATGCCACATGGGCGTCTCTCCCTCGCCAAATGCTCGATACGAGTGTCGATAGCAAATGACGATGTAATTGAGTCTTCTCTCTAATTTAGTCGATTTCCTCCGCGTTCCGCCTGTACTCTCCTCTCCCAGAGATGCTGCCAAATGATGGAAGCTTGACGTTGAACCAAGGTTTGAAGTGAAGTCTTTTTTTTTCTTCCGAGCGAGAGGAGCTAACCAGCGGTAAGAGACTACAAGAGATAGTCGTTTAGCCGCACAACATCAACCGGAAGCCAAAAGACGCTCACTCGCGAAGGTACATGCAAATTGGCGCGGCTGTGGGATTGATCTTTGATATTGCTCCGTTGGCGGGCGAGCGAATGAAAACGGGAAGAGGTTCAACTAGCCGTGCTAGGCGGAACCATTGAAGCTTAAGGTGGTGTAGTGCAGTGTCTCCAGTACCTGTGCCAACGCCCGGAAATGCCCTAACGGACAGGTTCTTTGCACCTGCGAGAGCTGTAGCCCTTCTGAACGCTTCCAGCTAGCGCCCGCAGCTCCAAGCATGGCCTAGCCCGTTCCCCTCATCTGTAAGCATCCAGGCTTTATCGTCATGGTTGCATTATCGCACTCATGACCACGGAGGCAAAACTCAGTTTCTTCTTTTTCTCTTCGTGTCTCAACCCACTGGCTTGAAGCAAATCCTTTGCTTTTTCCACCTTTTCGATATACTTCTGCAGCTTTGGAATCGGCCACAATCGCCCATTGCTGTGGCTCGACCGCTATACGACAGATCTTTCTAGGCCCACGCCTCGGAAGTGCACGGCAGCTCGCTCTCCAGACTTCTTCCAATTCTATACAAGATCTTTTGCTTTGGCTTCCTACCAAGAGCGCCGCCTCGTTTTCTACCTGGTCTGCAGAAATATGGCAAGGCAATAACTATAACTATACGAACAATCTAAGCCTTTCTGTACATAAACGCCATCATCTTTGGCCGGTTCGCCACCAAGTACAGAGTACAGCCGTCGTCCAATACCTGTCTGTATTCGCACATGTCTCGGTGCGCTTTGCCGTCAGCTCTGAGCCAGATGCGGTCCATACGACATCTTGCTCGGCTGACTTCGAGGGTTTCGGTTCCACGACAATCTGATGGCGCCCTCGTGTTCACAAGACATGTTGCGTCAAGCTCGGCGGCTGCTGAGCAGCCAGAGCCCCAGCCAACCCATACGATTCCTCCTCCTCCGCCTCCGAGCGTCCTTTCGCGTCGGGACCGCATTCGCGATGCTAAGCCCTTCTCAGACTTTCTAACGGATACCTTTCACCGGCAGCATGACTATCTGCGCATCTCCGTCACTGAAAGGTGTAACCTGAGATGTCTGTACTGCATGCCGGAAGAAGGCGTTCCGCTGTCTCCTGATAGGAATCTCCTGACCAGCCCCGAGATTGTTATGCTGTCATCCATCTTTGTATCACAAGGTGTGTCCAAAATTCGGCTCACTGGAGGGGAGCCCACGGTAAGGCGAGACATCTTGCCTCTCATGCACCAACTCGGTGCGCTACGCCCGTACGGGCTCCGTGAACTATGTATCACTACCAATGGCATTTCATTACATCGGAAACTGGATAGCATGATCGAGTCTGGGCTCACTGGAGTAAATCTGAGTCTTGATACCTTAGACCCATGGCAGTTCCAGATCATGACAAGGAGAAAGGGCTTTGATGCTGTCCAGAAAAGCATCGACCGCATCCTAGAGATGAACTCGCTGGGTGCTGGAGTCAAGTTGAAAATCAACTGCGTTGTGATGCGTGGCCTCAACGACCGAGAGATTCTTCCCTTTGTCGAGCTGACTCGAGAGAAAGATCTCGAGGTGCGCTTCATCGAGTACATGCCATTTGACGGCAACAAGTGGAGCAAGGGTAAAATGTTCTCGTACAATGAGATGCTGGACGTAATCCGGGGCAAGTATCCCGACTTGCACAAGGTCCGTGACGAAAAGAACGATACAAGTAAGACTTGGAAAATACCTGGATTTGCAGGCCGCCTCGGCTTCATCACAAGTATGACGCATAATTTCTGCGGCACCTGCAATCGACTTCGGATTACGAGCGACGGGAATCTCAAGGTCTGCCTCTTTGGAAACGCCGAGGTATCCTTGCGGGATATCCTGAGAAAATCCAACAGCGGAGATCCCATAGATGAAGAGGCGTTTGAGGCCATGAAGCAGATTGAGATGAACCGCCGGCAAGGTCTCGCCGGCACCGAGCTTCCCTTGGGAGTAGCACCAAACGAAGCCGAGCTTCTTGACGTTATCAGAATAGCTGTCAAGGGGAAGAAGGCGAAACATGCCGGTCTTGGAGAGCTAGAGCACATGAAGAACCGGCCGATGATATTGATAGGTGGGTAATAAAGCTGCATATCATATCCCCTGAAAACAAAAGCACGATCAGGCGGGTAGCACTATTTCAACTTCCTCGCCGTTTTGTGACTCCTGTGGCGTCAAGCGAATGGGAATGAGAATGTACGATATCACCTATCATCCATTATCGGACTTTATACGACTTGGCGGCGTATGCTAAGTAAATGTATGATAGATCCTGTTCCGTCAACACTCGCTACTATGCCGCCTAAAGCACGACAGCTTATCAGTCGTGCTATGCTATGGTCTAGTGCATCACCAGCAGCTACTTCTGGGTATTTTGGACAACAGCAGCAACTACGACGACTGTCCAGCTCTCGGAGCCTAAGAAACGACAAGGAGGACAAGAATCAACGCACGGCACGCCTCACGCATGTATCCGAGTCGGGTTCGGCACACATGGTCAACATTTCGGAAAAGCAAGTGACGTCACGCGTAGCCACGGCCGCCTGCGCGGTGCACTTCTCGGACGATACGGCAATCAAGTTGATACGGGAGAACCAGATGAAGAAGGGCGACGTTCTCGGCGTGGCTCGCGTTGCCGGCATCATGGCGGCGAAGCGAACGCCGGATCTCATCCCGCTGTGTCACCCCATTGCCATTTCACGTGTGAGCGTCGACCTGGAAGTCGCGGGGAACCGCCAGATCGAGATCAGGGCGACGGTATCGTGCGATGGGAAGACGGGGGTGGAGATGGAGGCGCTCACCGCGGCGTCATCGGCGGCCCTGACGGTGTACGATATGTGCAAGGCTGTGGACAAGGGGATGAAGATTGAAGGGCTTCGAGTTGTTCTCAAGGACGGGGGGAAGAGTGGTAGATGGGAGATGCCTTGATATAGGGAGTATGCATTTATATGGATGCAGGATGCAGTCAATGCGAGTATCTATCTAGAAGACTATTGATGTCGTCTTCTTTTCTTTTCCACCACAGCAATGGGAGGAGAATAACATTGGTGGCATAGCGAGGCAATGGATATGTAGCTCCGTACGTCGATACCAAGCAGCGAGCTTACAAGTCAATCTTAGTAGCTATACTTGAATATACTCATAGACTCACCAATGAACGTGAGAAACAATATAAAGAATCGCCTCCGTATGGATTTACTCGTGGGCGGAACAATGCCTCCGCCGTTAGTCTTACATCCGGACTGGATCAACACGGATGATGGGCAGGGCATCGGTGAGCACAGCTCTCCTGGCGGTACCTCGACAAGCAACAAGTACCTAACAAATCGATCTCGCTCGATAAGGTCCCCATCAAAACGACAGCCCCCCCGTTTGACGATCATTCGACCCATGTGATTGACATACATACACGTACAGGAATGAATCATGGACTTACCCGGGCAAAGAGGCCCCCTCACCCAACCCATCATGACCAAAGACGAGCCAACAGGCTTCCAACAACGCAGCAGCGAGGTGTCCGAATGACCTCCCGCAGGACGCCTGTGAATTCAAAATAGAACGAGGCGCCCAGTCTGCGTTGTCAATATGCATGCCGAGCGGTGAAGACGCCTAAACAAAGAAAGGCATAAAACAGGAAAACAACATGCTCGCCCAGCGGCCACACACCTTGAGGCCAGTGTGGATGGCACGTTGAGACCCAACCCGCTTGAGGCCCTACATGATGTATCTCCAAGTTTCCCTCTTCCAGCTGCCCCTCCTCCGCAGCCATGCAGTGCTACGACGATGCGGGATAATAGGCGGAGAAAACTAGCCCCCCTCCTCTCCTCTTCAGCCCCTCCATTCAGTTTCTCAGCACGGCAGTGACTTGACATTGTCCGGCTTTGAAGCTTGCATCGCGTGTGGCCAGAAGGCGCAGGAAGAGCATCTGCCAATCAGAGCGCTCATCACTCGTTATTATACCACGGAACACCGCGATGATTGGTATGAAGGCATGTCGAAGCGGCGATGCACCAATGGCAGCGCGGCGATAAGGCGAACGGGAAGTCGTGCAGGCGATTGCCCCATTCGGAAAAGATCAAACCAACCGCAGAAGCGTTCACTGTACTTCGAGGCGAAGAGAGACTGTGTGGCGTTTCGTCGGACCGCTCATGGTTGACACAGCCATTCCGAACCTCCGTCTGGCTCAGCTGCCGAGGGATGTACGGGCATGTACCTGTACGGTATACTCCGGACCAGGAGGCAATAACTAGTATATGCTATATCGGGCTGATGCCTTGCAAGCTGAAGTTGCAACCACATGGCAAGGCAAGCTCTCCCATGCCCGGGAACCTGGATGTGGCGACGGCTCTTCTCCGTACGCAGCAGCACGACACCACCCCGTCGTTCCTCTGGCCACCAAGGGGGCATGGCATGGCATGGCATGGCATATCGAGCTGGAACCTCCATCTGCCGCACTGCGACGTCCTGGACGCGGTTCGCTGGAAGCTGGACATGCTCAATGAGACTCTGGAACAAGAAGCGATGCACGAAAGCTTCCACACCAGAACGAATTGGCGGGGTCAGCCCGCTTCTCCCGTCGACCGGCGATTCGTCGCAGCTTGCAGCTTGCAGACTGGAGAGCCCATCTCCACAGGTTGGATTTGCCACTCTGAGTGGGTGAGAGATGGCCATCGAAGCACGAGTCGTCCCTGCGGTGAGGGCACGCGGCCAAAATAGTAGCCCAAGATGTCTTCGCTCAACAGAATATGTACGAGCATGTACCTGTATGACTACATGTACATGCATATGCAGGCGGAGACTTATGGCCGCTGTATGTACTATGTACTCGTGCAAGAGTGTCCTTCCGGTTACCACGGTGTAGCAGATGGAACAGATTCACACTTGAGTACTCCTCCGTATGTTGGTCCGTACAAGTACCAAGTACGGGTAACCAAATGCTCAAGTGCTGCCCGGTTCCGTAGATATGGTGCCGAATCCGGTAGAAGACAGAGAGTTGAGAGGCAGCCGTCTGTTGATCGAACTAACTAAACATCCATTGATTCCCACTGACGGGGCGCCCGTTGTGGCGACTCGCTCTAGTGACCTTCGAAAGAACAAAACGCGAGTCAAGCTGGCTTCTACTTTGCTTTCCGCGTCCACTTGGCAGAAAAAGAAGACACATGAATACAGCCAAGACAGCATTGGGCTTTTTTTCGGTCCTCCACTAGGCCAGATGTCATTGCCAATGTCGTCAAAACGGTGATCAGGATTGGCTGTATCTGTTATTAATAAGACCGGTAGGGGAAATAGACAGGCACGGCATTATGCTGGCGGCAAATACGGTAACGGTAAACACTTGTTCCTGGCGAGCTTGCGGCAGCTGGTGGCAAACTAGCCAGCTAATTGTTTATGCAAGATCTTCGCAGAGCCGCACTGGAATCTAGTAGTCTTCCATTTGACACCCTAAATCGACACCGTTTTTTCAGCATCGCCCGGCGGTGTACTTGCAAAGACGGTGAGAAGGCATGAGATGAGATGGGGGTCCTCAACTGCAACGACGCTCGAGCAGTGCAGTAGGCTCAAGCCGGTGCAAAACGACGGAGGATGAAGCCGAGCAAGATGCCAAGCCGAAAGTGTTTCACCGAGGCAGTCGGAGCTATTACTATATGCCACGGTTTGGCTTCCTGGGGTTGATTTCCTTGGGGCATCAACCATGTACCTGTAGTGCGACTAACATTTGGGCACCCCTACAGAAACCTGGAACTTTTCCGAAGCGTTGTCCGGACCGAAACACTCGTAAAATATCGCTTGGCCGGCTGTCTTGCGGCGACTGGCCTTGGCAAGAGCAGCGAATGGGCTCCATCTGTATTCGCTTGCTATCCGTGGCTGTGCTCCGTTCTCCAGACTTGCAGGGCCTCTATGCGGTTTCCCGCATAACAACCATGTCAATAAAATGAGAGCGAGAAAAAAAGACTCAAGGTTCTTGGCCAGGCACAAGAGCCAAGAGGCTACAAGCAAGAAGATCAACACGCCGAGACCATTTGTGGTGGGACTAGTGCGAGGGCCGCCTTGGGGTCTTTTTCTTGGGGGTGGGGGGAGGGGATTTTTTTGGGACGGACCAGAGTGGCATCTCCGAGATGGTTCATGCGAAGAGAGAGAGGAGAGAGGTAGTATTGGAGGGGGTGAGTGAGGGAAAATACGAGGAATGATGCTGTTTGAGGAGGAGGAGGAGGGGAGAAAGATAGAAAGGTAAAGTAGCTGAGCTGGTGTAAGTTGGCTCGAGAAGGGAAAAAAAAGAGCATGTGAATGTGGAAGCCAGGTAGGTAGACGCAAGTACTGTACCTTAGTGCTAAGGCGTCTCAGCACTTACCTAGTACCTAGACTACCTAGCACTGCCGATGCTTGCGAGAAGCGAGAGCCCTAATGTCTGTGATCACAGGCGCTTTAGCCGTGGCCCGACGGTGACAAGATAGGTACGTTGCATTGCCACAAGCCGATCGAGATGCTGCCGCCCATTGAATGCCAATCTGTGTCTCGGGTGTTGCTCAGTTAGTGCTGGCAGTAATACAAAGCACATGGCACGGCGATATCTCGTGCAGTATTACTCCGTATAAGCAGACTGTGGTGCTCAACAGTGCTCGTACGGTACGGCAACTTCCATTGCACAGCTCCAGGACCCCTAAATCCCATCTGGACAACCACGCCGCGCCCATGCCAATCGGGCGGATACGATGGGGCGAATCTCGAGTGCTAGCGGGCGGCCAGAGTTGACACAAGTCCATGGCGTCTGGATTCTTGTTGTTCTGTTGCCGTTGGTGTTGCCGCTGGTGCCTGTGGCGCTCCGCTTCACGAGACTGGCGCTCGTGCTGGGAGGTGCTCGCGCTGGCCGTAGGCGCTGGAACGGCTTAAACGATGGGCGACAAACGGGGCGCGCGTTTTGCGCTGCAGCCAGCCATTGATGCCATGCCATGCCATGCCATGCCAGGCCAGGCCAGGGAACCAGCAGATAATTAGCGCTTTGTGGTCGTCGATGCCGTTTCTGGCTGCTACACGAACAGGTACGGGGTACCTCTGCCAGCCCTACATTCGCCGGCGCCGCCGAGTGTATCCTGTACGCGGACCGGCAGCAAGCATCGGGTTCCTTGCGAGGCAAATCGAAAATCGAGGCCAGGCTGAGAGCGCAAAAGGGAAACAAGGCACCTGCCACCCTGGCCCGTTAAGCTTACTATGACGAATGTGCCGCATCTGTGGCCGGGGGGGTCGCCAAAAATCTTCATCAATTTCGACCTGTCACGGCTTTGGGGCATGAGATTTAGCATGGATGGGCCGTAGTGCAGGCAGTATATGGCCCATCCAATGTGTAACTTCCGGATTGTGTGCTACAGGACCTAATCCGTCAGTAAGCTCAGCTGAGTGCTGATTTATACTACAGTGCTAGGGAGTGCCGTATTACAGCATACCTATGCTTACTCGGTACCGGCAGTTGCAGCAACTACAGCACGGTAACAAATTGAAGAGCATGGAGCAACAATCGATACTTTCGACGGCCCAGGCTTGGGTAAAAATAAATCTTGCCTTGTTGCTAGCACGCTGCCTTAGTCCACATGGGAGTGGCCGAGCGGGCCAATGGGCTGCCCACCAATTCAATCAATCCTCTCCAGAGGCCCAAAGTTCCGTGCCACACGACTGGAGCAAAACGCCGAGAGAGGGAAAAAAAAAAAAAGAACCCCGACCGGCCTGGATCTGTACATCCGAGTTGCTCGCTTTCCGACGCTGCTGGACAGGTATTTGCGGCGCTCCGGCATGTACCTCGTCCAGACCCAGCGCGCATGCTACCTGACGCAGCTTCGTACATGCTGGAACTTTCAACTCCAGGACAGACGTACATTAGCTCCTCTGTGGCCTGGACGACGTGCATGAGACAGGGAGAGCGGACAGAGCTGCATTAGGTAGCAGGACTAGTCGAGGACTTGGTTAGAATAGAATATTGCTCGCAACCTTTTTTTCTCTCTCATTTTTTTTTTTCTCTCTCTCTCGAAAATAAGTACCGTGTTCAAACCAACGCTTGCATTACCAGCACCAACCTTGCTCTTCTTTCTCCTCCGTGCCTCTTCAATACCTAACCGGCAACTTCTCCACGCTCCATACTCCATACTTACTACCACCACGCCGTCCACATACCAAAATCCGCGACTCGCATCGCCACCGGTCAGCGTCCGTCCAATTGCCGCCCTGCGATAGTCCGCCCCCTGTCCAATCGCACCAATCCGGCCACTCCCCGACACACCCGACATAACACAGAATAGGAGGACCCAGTGCGATTCTCAGAGGATCAATCTCGACTCGACGCTCTCGGTCGGTACCAGCAAAGTAAGCTCCAGACCGGCCAAGTACCCGCCTGTACACGTACCTGGCACTTGCAGCCCTCGGTTGCTTTATATCTTCGTCTTGCCCTCGATCTTGATACCGAGTACATCCCTCGACCTCATCTCCCCAAGCAGAGCAGCGTCGAATCGGCCTTCTATCTACCATCGCCTCCATCCTTTCAGTCCTCTCCTTTGCTGCATAGCGTGTCATCATACCTTGGGGCATCCGCTCTCACATTTATCTCACTCATCACCAAACAAACTCTACACATCTCCAAGCCACTCACCGCGCGGCGGCTCAACGTGGCACGACTCACTCCGCCATTCATCATCCTCTTACGTTAATTACCCCCTGAATTAAAGGGAAGCCCAACAAGAAAAGAGAAGGACAAGTAAAAATCAAGTAAACACAATGGCCGCCCAGCTCATCATGCCCTCCGTACCGGGTGCGCAGCAGCAGTCCCGGCACTTTCTGCCAAGCGCACGCCCTCATGGCCACAGCCGCTCGCAGTCCTTCCAGCTTCCTCCAGGACCTCAGCTCTCGCCAAACAGCTCAAACGGCTTCCATGAGCACGCCGTCTCGACACCGCCGTCGCCCAAGGCTCGCCACGCCACCCATGTACGCCCCGTCTACATGCCGGCTGCTCTGCGACCAAACGACGAGTTCCCGCAGCGGCCCTTGACCAAGTCAAGATCTGGCGACTCGAGCTCCGACTCTGGATCCGACGTGACGCTGCGCCGCTCAAATACGGGCTTCATGAGCCTCAGCGGCATCGTCAGCCAGCGCCTGGGCCGACGAGCCAGCGAGAGCGGCAAGAGCAGCAGCATCGACGGCGAGTGGAACCTCGATCTCTTCCCCGACGTTACTGAGCCGCCAACGCGCAAGCACTGGAAGGTTTGTTTGAGCCCGAGGATCCATCTACATGACGAGTTATCGCTAACAATGTCTCCATCAGCCCGACACCGAATCCACCATCTGCGACGACCCGACGTGCAAACGCAACTTCAGCTATTTTGTCCGGCGGCACCACTGCCGCAAATGTGGCAACATCTTCTGCGACTGGCACTCTAGCTATGCGCTCCCGCTCGACCAGGACGCAAACTTCAACCCGCGCGCCGTCCCATCACGCACGTGCAACCACTGCTTCGAGCAGTTCAAGACCTGGCACAGCCGCGAAAGCAGCCAAGTGTCCAGCCCAGCGTCCTCGGATGCTCATCGCACAGTCCCTTCCACACCAATCGCCGCCCAGCCAGCGACACCGTTTGGCCTGCCCCAGGGCCCTGAGATTCCAGCCAGCGTTCCCCGAGACTGGAACTGGAGCACCTTTTAAGAGAGAAACCTGGCGGCTGAGCCGCTGTATCAAACCACACGGCCGAGGGGACTCCTCTTGGTGGGCAAGATGTCCATCAGGGAGCTGGCCAGTTTTCCTATTACTTACCACACTCGTGTCGCCGCTATGGCGGCATCTGATACCCAGAGCGAACACATGAAGTTACGAGAAACTCAAATGACGATAGACCATTAGACCAGATTGATGATTTTTTTGATTTTTTTTCTTTTTCTTTCTTGTTTTCATTTCCATGTCTCCTATTTACAACACCCCAACCAAATCTTCTTGACAACGGGGCAAACTCGATCTATCTACACGAGAATCTCGTCGGACATCTCAACCACACACCCCCTTTTTCATCATCTTTTCTTCTTTTTCTTGAAATACTGCATGGAAACATTTTCATCTCGGACAAAAACTCGCCGAGCAGAACGGAATGAATAATTCAGATTCAGAAACAGACAAGCTACTAGACTTTTGGGAAAGCAGGCGTTTTTTCTTAGCGGGATACCCCCTTCTTGGCAGCTCCTTTTTCTCTTTTTTTTTCGTCTTTTTGGATGAGGAAGGAGAGAGAGAAAGGGGTGCCTCGACATTTTATTATCCTTATTTTCTTTATTATTATTATTATTATTATTATTATTATTATTTTGATGTGCGGGATTGTTTGGAAGGAGATAATACCCCCGATGGCGGAGTAGCCGCTTGTTTTTGTGAGCCGAGGTTGCTTCTATAGACAAATAATTGACTCTCTTTACACATATTTCAACTTCATCTCCTAGATCTGTGCTTGTAGTTTTGTCGCCAAGTCATGATTCGCATTGTGTAGATGCAAGGAAAAGGGGACATCTTACCTGTTGATGCAGGGAAAAGGGGGGGCATCGCTCTGCAAAGCACAAAGTATACGAATAATGAATGACCAGACAATATCACATAAAATCTCAAGTTAAGCAAAAAAGACATCTTCTGATCCGGTAATCCGGTCATCTCTCAGATTCTATTCGAGTCGTGTATCTCTTTTTTCAACTTTGATAATTACGACAAGTGAGGAGGAGGGGAAAAAAAATGCAACACTATCCTTGTCCATGCAATACTTGATGTGAAAAAAACCATGAAAAAAATATTTTCCCCCCAAAGCCCATCCAGTTAAGGACTTTAAAACAACGCCATGCCCAGGGCAATTGAGAGCAGATCTTTTTTTGGTTCTTTTCTCATGCCCGTAAGTAAAAATAAAATCAAACCAAATCTCAACGAATTCTTGCCAAATCAAAACACATGGTTTGATCAGCGCGAGTATCCTACAACTTTCAAGCCCCCCTTTTCGCCCACCAGCTTTTTTATCTTGACCCTTCTCGCGGGGGGTTTCTAAGCCCTGCGCTTGGTGGTCTTGCCGTTGGGGCTGCTTCCCTCGGCCATCTGCTCGCCGCCGTAGACCTCTCTCTCGACATTGCGGGCAGCTTCCCAGCCAGCCTTCTCAGCAAGGGTAACCTCGTCGCCCATGCCGCGGGCAGCCTTGCCGCCGAGCTTCTGGGCAGCGCTGCTGCGCTTGACGTAGCTTGCGATGAAGAAGCTGATGAAGAGGTAGGTGAGAGGGGCAAGGTAGACGACGTTGATCCAGATGGCAAACGTCTCACCAGTGGTGAGGGTGCAGGGCTGGACGAGATCATATGTCCGCGTAACGGTGGTGGACTTGCTGATGGTAGGCGCGGCCGCAGCCTCAGCGCCACCAGCGACCTCGGCAGCTCCGAAGATGAGCTGCTTGAGCGAATCCAGGGCACTGACGGCAGTCGGGATGATGTAGTCGATCGGGGCGCTCCTGGTGACGGGAGACTCTTCGGTGACGACGTGGGTAGATGTGATGGGGGAAACGTAGGTGATGAAGGAGGGGACCATGGCGAATGTAGCTCCAATGATGAACTGGGTGATTTGCATGGAAGTCAGGGAACGCTTCATGGCCGTAGGGACTCTAATGGAGAAGGCCGACAGAGTGTAGTAAGTGTACTAGAAACGCAAGGTTAGCAAAAGGAGCCGCGGTGAAATCTGGGGTCAAAAGCCGGAGAAAAAGAAACTCACCATCAAAGAGTGGATGAAGGAGTTGAAGAGGCAGAAGATCCAGATGGGGATAGCCATGTATCGCATGCCAGCCCACATGCACATCATGGCACCGGCGTGGTGGTATGTCTGCAGAGTCGAGCTGTACTTGCCCTTGGCCAAGATGATGAAGGTGTCGAGGACCTCGTAGAACTTGCTCAGATAAAAGATCCAGCCGTAGTAGTTCAGGCCCTCGTTCCACATTCGGCCGGGCTCAGTAGTGCTGGGCATGCCGCCCGAAGAGAGCAAATGCGCAAGAGAGCTCGGTGAAGCACTATCCCAGCTTAGAGTGGTCTCGTTGAAGTAGATGGAGTTACCCAGGCCTCGAGGTCCGTGAGGGCGGCAGAAGCCATCAGCAGTAGCCGCAACACCGCCAGGGCCAAAGGGGCTGACGACACTCCTCCTCATGACGCCAACCATGCCCCAGAATGTCCAGGCGGAGTAGACGGCGAGGAAGATGTTGTGCAGGACGACAAAGACGAAGAAGGGGCGTGTTTTGCTGATGCCCCATGGCTTCTTGTTGCGCGCCTTGTTGTACTTGTTGAGTAGCTTGGCCGAGATGGCATAAAGCGCGGCAATCGTCAACGGAACTCGAGCATCCAGAGCAGACACATAGAGATCATCTGGGATGTTGAACGGCCTCAGAATAGAAGCAGGGACATGAGCCGGAGCGATTGGCGCCGGGGGGTTGGCCGGGGGGAAGTTGAAGAGGTGGGCTTCGGGCAACGAGCCCCAGACCTGAAATTTGGACATGGCGGATGCGGGATGATGCTTGCCAGGTGAAGGAAAACCGTGCAAGTTGTGTGGGTGAAGATCGAGTTGTGGTGGTGAAGAGACACGCTCTGCTGCTAATGGTGTAAGTCGTCGTCCAGCCAGGGAGCCTTTCAGTGTAGTCGCATGTACCTTTTTTTTCCCGCTAACAAACACAAGAAGCAAGCTTGTTCCAGCTCTTGTTTGCCCCAGAATAAGGTTCCAGGCTATTTTGGACAATGCAAGGCGCTGCCAAACAGGCTATTATGAAAAACAAGGTGGAAAAGAGGAAATTGGAAGGAATTGTCCCAATGACAAAGATATTAAGAAGAAATTCGAGAGCGCAGTGGAAAATTAAAAGAGGGCGCTCTGGATACCCGCTTCCGCCGCGGCTTGGGATTCAAGGGAGGGGTGAGAAGAGAGGCCGAGCAAAAAAAAACACGCCTGGCGAATTTGTTGGGGCACAGGCGGGTCAACGGAGCAGTTCAACCAAGTCTCAATGATGCAAGCGAGCAAAAAAAAAATGGGAAAAAAGAGGCGAAACAAGAAGGGCTGCAGGCGATTAATTGAACCACCCAAATGCAGATGGTGGTAGATTGTTCGTCCCTTTTTAATTGGTGGCCAGCAGATCAGAGGGTGCGAAGTAACTTTTCGGTTGCTTCGTCGTCGACCTGGTACCGCACGCTCGCTGCTTTCGTCTATGGGCGGCTAAGTACACTGGCGGTGGTGATCGTGGGGAGAGTGACGTTTGGTTTGGTATTACAGCTTGACGATACGATACGCCTGGAGCAGAGTACGAGTACGGTATTAAACAACAGGCAGGGCTGGTGAATTGGCCAAAGGGAGAGTGATAAGACCGATTCAATGAAGATGTTTATGAGCGTGTCATGTCAGACAAGGCCAGCTCGAGGGAGGCGGACGATGTTTATACTTGGTGCTTGGGCAGCTTCATTTCACATCAACGCGATATAGACGTCACGCACCTCTCGGTACTTGGCAGAGGCGTCGTTTCTAAACCACGAACGGCATTAATTTCACATAATGTGAAGTCTCCCTTGTTCAGCTCCAGCGGCCGCTCGCCAAGCCAGGGGCCAAAGTCAAAAGAGAGCTGTTGACTGACTACACGATAACCAAGCGGAGGGCCCCCCTGGTCGCCTCGGAGCCCGCGGAGCAAGAGCTCGATCGATTTCGTTTGAAGCCTCATTGAGCAGCTGAACCAAAAGAAGAGAATACAGTACTACGTGATGTCTAATATTACCGCAGATTACAGAATATGGAGCATCAACAAGTACCGAGGATGGACACACTACTGGAGCTAACACCTGCCATTGTCTTGTTATCGATTGCAATACCATCCAGATGATCGTCGTCTTCTTCTTTCTTTCTTTTCCTCGTCCCATCTTCTCCCCACCACTTGATTCCCACTCCTCGTACTTTGAACCAGCATCGGCTTTCTCGCTTCTCTCCACGATTGCGACTCGTCGTTTGCCGATCCAGCGAACAACTCCCGCATCAGGGGCCGTGCCAACCGGGGCCGGATATAGCGGTCACTCGATCAGGGAAAAACAAATAAATAAAATACAGTAAATAAAATAAAACCATACAATTCATTAGATGCCATCACGGTAGCACCGTCATGCTCGCGACCATGGCGCAACAATAGACTCAGCCTGTCCTCGCCCAGGTACTGTACGAGTACAATGACGCCCACGCTTATAATCTCCTTTCGACAGTCGCCAGGCTTGGTCATTGGCCGGCTCTCCCCATGCCCAGCTTCTGCTTGTCCATCCCTCCCTCCCCTGCATCTCCACCCCAACATCGGCTCTAGGCCCGAAAGGACGAGAATGCAGCAAATGCCGCCCGTTGTCTTCCATTCCAGCACCTGTACATGGCTTGTCCCCTTGCGTTTTTTTACCTTTGTCCCGGCTCGAACGGCGGAAATACTACAAGCAGATATCGCACTCGCATCCCTATTGCCGTGCAAACCGGCAATGACGCACTGCACGATACTTGAATGAGCTGAGCATCATACCAAACTTTCGCAGCTTCTCCCTCCCACCACCAGCTCTCCAGGAACCACGCGACACCCAGCATTTAAGGGGACCAAAACATCTCAATCAATGCTAGCCTCCCGTATCGCCACACCAACTTCTCGTCCTCCCGGCCAGCCGCTCCAATACGGAGTGGTTGCAGGCTGCCCCGTTCCTCCGTATGTGGCCGCGATGCGGAGCCGGATGCGGCAAACGGCCCAAGTTCAGCTCTCACAAAAAAAAAGCAGCCAGTTAGAAAAAAGTTTTCTTTATACTTTTTTGTTGGGGGAGAACCCTCTAGCGCCGCATCGCTGGGATACCACCCTCCCCTTGGCAAAAGAGATAGAGATGCTGCTACTATTATCTGCCCCGTGCTTTTTCATGGCACCCCCCGCACAAATACTATATTGAAATGGATGTCCAAGCCGAGCTTCACATGAGGGCACATGCACGCAAGTCGCATTAGCCGTAGCAAGTTCCTCGGCTCCCCCATACTTTGCTGCTGAATACGAGTACATGGCCGGTAACTGTATTCTGGAAGCCCATGAAATCCAGGGTCGGGGGTGGCTACTGTAGGACTTTTGTTCTCCACACAAGACCTGCTAACCCAAGTAAACTTTTACCCAGAGCCTTACTAAACGCTTAGCGGCCGCAACGGACTCGAGACGCAACACCACTCCAACCCATGAGGCACGTGCAGCTTCGCAACCTCCAGTTGATTGGATATATCATATAATGCACAGCTCGTTTCTGCCGCCTTGAATGAGCTGGCCGAGTTGCTTGCACCGAGCCCCCCCAAGGCATCAACAAAGTCATTTTACCGAGAAAGAGTGCGAAAGAGAGTGAGAGATAGAAACAGACGGGGGAGATGATACCACCGCCAAACCAGCCCATGCAAACCCAGCATTCTAAGCAGACAAAACCCCCCAAGCTCTCATCGCCACACTGCCTGCGCCATCAAACTTGCATCAAAGAGATGAGGAGAAAGATGCAACGGCAATCAAGTGCTACCTTGCCTTACCAAAGCACTCCGTCACCGTGCTTCGCTTGCTTGCGAACACACCCCTCGATGCGATGCAATGCACCAAATCTGTACTCGTGAACAAGGAATCATCTGCATGTATGTACCTCTTTTACTCCTAACCTCCGTTCGATCCCAACATCTCCGCACCGGGAACTTCTGCCTTGCAAGGCAATCGGCGGCGGGGGAATTAGAGCACCTGCGGAGATCAGAACATCCCAGCCCGTCGCAACATCACCGACAAACACCGCTCGGACAAATTGCTTCATTGCCATGTCATCTCCGAGACTCGTAAACATCACAGCACCTTGATTGCGACTTTATTTTTACCACGTGGGAGGTTGGTAATACCGGCAGCAGCATGTTTCAAGAGAAAAACAGAGAAAAACAAGCAAGACATCACAGATAGACATCTGGTCCATACAACGTCATAATAAAAGTAAGTCATTTATTCTTGCTGCTTACTGATTCATAATACAAACATGCAGACCGCGCCCATATGTCATTCCCGGTCCAATTATACTTATACCAAAACCCATCAGATATCTTAATCATTGTCCATCATTATTTAGCAACCCACTCGCCGGCGATCCAGCGGTTGAGGAAGTTGATGCTGCCCTCAGGCTCATCCGTGGGTGTCATGTGGCCGGCATGGTAGATCTGCATCCAGGTGAGGTTGTGTGATGACTGGACGTTGCCGTATGTCCTGTCTCCAACAGTGAGATCCTTGGTCTTGGCGCTACGGAAGTCGTCACCGTGCTCCCACTCAAGAGCATTGACCCAGGCCTTGTTGCCCAGCCAGTTGCAGATGAAGTCGGCGTCACCGGCGTAGATGAGGACGGGAATCTCCTTCAGGAGTTCGGGAACAAGGCGGTAGATGGGCTTCATCCAGTCACCACGGAGCAAGAAGTCACGGTTGATCTGGAAGTTGCAGCTTTCGTAGCTTGACACCTCGGCACCAAGGGCCTCCATAGTCTCAGGCTTGTTCAGGTACTCGGAGATCCAACCCAGACCCTCGTAGCACAGGTTGCCGGAATCCTCACACTTGGAGCGGATATCGTAGGGGTTGTAGCCGGTCTGCTGGTACGGTCCAATGAAGGCGTTGTTGCAGTAGATGGCAGCGGGAACGCAGACCCAAGCGCTCTCAGAGTCGTAGCAGTTCTTGATGAGGCTCTGGCAGCGGGGCAGAGCGTTGTCCATGGCGTTGCACTGGCTCTCGCTCAGGACGGCGGGGTAGCCACCGTCACCGCAGGCCATGGGCCGGTAGTAAGCGTACTGGGTGAACTCATCGGTCAAGCCATTGCCGACAGCAATGCTCTTGAGGTTGATGTTGCGGTCCTTGTGGGAGAGGATCTCTGCCGCAAAGGTAGGGACGTAGTGTCCACCGTATGACTCTCCAGCAATGTGGAAGTCCTGAGTAGAGTACTCGGGGTACTGGTGGAAGAAGAGGGTGAGGAGGGCGTAGACGTCCTTGCCAGCAGCGACAGTGTCGCTGACTGAGCCGCTACCATATGAGTAGCCCACGTTGACCGGCTGGTCAAGGAAGATGACGGAAGCATTGTTGTTCCATGCGTGTGGGTTGTTGACAACCTGAATCTTCTTGTTGATAGAGGCAGGTCCCAGCTCAAAGAAGAGACCAGTGAGGGAAGAGCAGCCTGGGCCGCCATTGAGCCACAGGATGACGGGGTCGTTCTTGGGGTCGTTGCGGGACTCGAAGAACCCTGCGAAACAAGACATTGGTTAGCCATTGGCCTGCGTTATCGGAGATTTGTCACAGTGTAAACTCACAGTAGAACAAGTGCTTGTCCTTCTCGTCGTCATCGAGGTATCCGCTGAACTGCTTCACGGAGTCGACACCGAGCTTGGCGGGATCGACCTTCTTGGTTCGCAAGCTGTAGTTGGACAGCTTGCCGCCCACCAGACGGCGGGACTCTCCAGACTCGCTCTCGACC